AGCCTGCAGCTGGGTACAAGTTAACCTCATGAACTTGAAGGAAAGCAAGTAAATAGGATGGTTAAACGAACTGCAGCAGATCCACTTGCATATCTGAAGGTCAGCCAATAGTGTAAAACAGGCATAGACTGCTCTAAGGGTTAATGGTCACAATGTAAACAGGGAAAAAACCCATTGAGCGTCTATCTTGCTTTGTATCAGAACTGCTTCTTCAAAGACATTCCTTTCTGTGGTACTTACTCAGTGATGAACTGTGACACTGGGGTCCTGGTCTGAGAACTGGTGTCTGGGAAACTGGACAAGCAAATGAATTAATAAAGTTATCAACTGAAAGTCTGGGCAAATAAACACACACCCCCCCACACACCCCCATCTCCCAAGACATAGATCTGTGTGTAAAAGGAGACCAAAGCCTAGGAAGAAGAATAGGTTTTGTACATTTTTATGTTGCTGTGTGCTCTGGGGTTAACAACATGAGTGTGAAGGTGCATCCACATCGCCTTTCTGATGGATCAAGAGTGACAGGACTAAAGCTTGAGTTTGTGCTTTTTTTTCCTAGACCAAACCAGCATTAATTGTTGGAAAAAGTGAGGAGAAAATGCATGAGTTTTTCTGTGGAAAGTGGGTGCCAGCTTGCAGGAGAGGCAGGAAAACAGCACGTGATGAAAACCTGGTACTTGGTCTTGCACCCACAGCAAAGGTGGAGTAACACAATGAGCTAACACAGACTGGTATGGAAGGTCTCAGCTGAAAATAAAGATTTGTTATGATGGGCCCCAAAAACGCCAAAAGACTAAGACCAAGATAAAAAATCCACATACAGATTCATAGAATCACTAAGGTCAGAAAACACCTCTAAGACCATAAAGTCCAACCCTTAATCCAACACTGCCAAATCCACCACTAAACCATGCTCCAAAGTGCCTCATCTACACATTTTTGAACACTGCTAGGGATGGTGACTCCACCACTTCCTTCGGCAGCCTGTTCCAATGCCTGACCATCCTTCCAGTGAAGAAATTTTTCCTAGTATCAGATCTAAACCTCCCCTGGTGCAACTTGTGGACATTTCCTCTCATCCTGTCACTTGTTACTCGGGAGAAGAAACTGACCCCCACCTGGCTACAACCTCCTTTCAGGCAGTTGTAATCAATCAGAGCAATAAGGTCACCCCTGAGCCTCCTTTTCTCCAGGCTAAACAACTCCAGTTCCCTCAGCTGCTCCGCACAAGACTTGTGCTTTAGACCCTTCACCAGCACAGTTGCCCTTCTCTGAACACATCCAGCATCCCAACATCTTTCTTGCAGTGAAGGGCCCAAAACCGAACAAAGTGTTAGAGATGCAGCTCGAAAGAACCATGAGGAACTAGAATTCTACAATAAAATTGCTTTCTTTTACGCCCTTTCAGATTTTGGTAAGGACATGTGAAGGTGTTGGATGCACAGCTGTGGCTCAAAAACCTGGGGAGTGTTGGATTGGACTGGGGCTATCTTTATTAGAGCTTATGATTTTTATAATTTTTACTTTTACAGAGATACACAGTAGATATATATGTGTATATATAAATAGATATATGATCTATTTATAATATAATTACATTTGTATATACTTAATACAGTAAATAAATATTACATTATATTTGATAATTTAAAAACATTTTTATATACATGATATAATTTTTAATTGAGTTTATAATTATCTAATTCTCTTTATCTGAGACTATTACAGCCAGACTGAGAATATATAGGAGTCAGAAATAGGCAGAGGTTAAAACACGGTTCTTTTGCATTCATACCCTGGTTTCCATTGGTGAAAGCAGTGGACAAGGAAACAAGAAATCCACAGTGGGCATTCATCACTGTCCTGCTATTTAATTGTTTGGTCATGGTGTTTGGTGGTCTGACCTTTCTTTTCCCAATAGTACTGACTTACCTTTGAGGATCACTGTGTCTTCTACCCTTACAAAGTCTAACCCCTTCCATTCCCAGAGGATTCAAACCCACACTCTGTACAGATCACTGAATTGAATTTAAAATATTGATTAATTCCCTGCCTTTTAGCTAGAAGGATGAGTGCAGGCACATGCCTATATAAAGGACTTTGGCATGAAGAAACTCAAGCTGAAGGACTTGTTTCTAGGAGGTGAATCACACTGGATGCACCTGCTTAGGCAAGTCTCAACTCCACACTGTGTGAAGTTTATCGCACCTGGGTGTGATACTGAAACTGGGAAAACTTGTATGTGTCACTTTCCTTGGCAGTACCACGGCTCCTTCACACCCTGTTAGCAAAGCCCGAGTTCATACCTGGCTAAAATCACCACTTTATGAAAGGCAGCAACAGAAACAAAGCTAAATAAATCTTGGAGAGAAACAAGTGCATGCATGCATACATGAATACCAAAATGGAAATAAAAATGCTAACTCAAGCATACTGTAGTAGGACTTAAAAAGTCAGACTCACGAACTTCGCATGACACCTTCGCATGACACCCTGCTGCTGAGTGAGCACTCAGAGAGAGGAGCATCTGCTGCTGAAGACAGAAGGGAAAACCAGTGATACCAATACGGGTCTGTAGCAGAGGAGTAAGGACTCTGCAGGTCAGGTGAGACAAGGAAAGATTTGTGCTGCTGCCTTGTCATTTTTTTTTTCTTTTTTTCTCCAGCATGTCCTATTCCATCCAAGAGGAAAACCCCCAATCAAAATGGGCCTTTCAGAGCTGTGCAACCCAAATGGTTGTTTCTGCAGAACAAAGGGGTTCAAAGAACATGATCACCAAAAGACTAGACAGTGAAGCAGGCTCCCAGGATTTGAGCAGAAAGATTACCTTCATAATGCTGTAGCTCACTCTTTATCTTCAGCACACAATAGCAAGGTAAATTCATTTTTATAACTTTTTTTTTTTTTAACAGAAATTTGCAATCTTTTAGAAGGGATGAGAAGTGGTGGCAACAGTTCTGCTTGGGATAAAATATGAGTGAGGAGGGACTCAAGATATGACTAGTACTATAGAATCTTTCTGCTTCCTTGCAGGCAAGAGGAAATGAAAAAAAAGAAAGGATGGGAAAACAAGGACAGTTCTGTCTGTGGGTTAGCTTTTTATTGCAGTTTGCAAACTGGAAAAGACTGCAGAACTAACACCAACTCTTCACATATCCTGAGCCCCGACAAGCTTTAAACAACTTAAAATAACTTAAGCATATAGCTGCCTATATGCTCAGAGACATGTATATTTATCAAGAAGGTTAGGTTTAGTTATAAAAATCTTAAAACCAGTAAACGAAAAAGACCTGAGGGCCACAGATTCCAGTATTTGGTGTTTCAGGTTACTAAGACTATCAGATCCTGTAAGGGTGGTGGTGGTATCAGGATCCACTCAGTCCAGTGTGGTCAAGCTGCTCCTTCCAGATGCACAGACAAAGACTCAGTGGTGGGCAAATGATGAGAGTGAGACAGTGGTGAAGTGTTTCCTTTGATAATTTTTTTTGCCAGGAAAAAACTGAAATAACAGTTTCCTATTTGAGTGGCATGAGTGTGGGTTTGGTTTTCTTTGGCTTTTTTTTTTTTTTAAATCAAAGATGAGGAACAGGCACAGGCAGAATTCATCAGCCATCTTACTCACTTCATCCAGACAGGCCTACATTCTCTACTCACCATTTTTGGTCCATTGGTCCATTAACCTCCCATTCTATTGCCTTGTAATTATTGTATATGCAAAGAGCACACTCAACACTTTTCAGGGCTAATTTAGTGAGTTTTGTGGACTTCTGTAAATGCTGTTTTGGAACAGGCTAAACAGTCACAGCTTCTAAGTGAGAAACTCAGCACATAACAGCTGAAGTGCAGCACTGTGTGTATTCATGTACTCACCCAGGATAATACAGGAAGGAATGGCACAGGGAGTTTTCTCTTTCCAGATGGAAGAGCCTTTAGTACTGGGCTAGTGCTTTTTGGGGATGAGCAAGGCAGCAGAGCAACTGGTTTGGCACTAGAAAGGATTTCAGTTAAAACAAACACATTCTTCTTGTGAAGTCATTTCAATGAACTGGAATTTGTCCTATAAAACATTCAGTCAAAATATCCTGGTCCACATCTAGCTTAGCCATTTTTTTTCAGAAGTGTACATGTACCCAGACATTTGTATTTACATGGGTATGAACATACTTTGATATTGCTGGCATCTTCTGTTTCTTCATGTGGACTTTCCATTCACTGGTGCATCTGCAAACAGTTACTTTTCCTGCTTAAAACCAGGTCATTATTACTTCATCTCATCAAAAGAAGATACTAGTGCCCTTAAAATATGAAACATTAAAGATGTATTAACAAAACAAATAACTGTTAGCTGACCATACTTTCCTATCCATTAGTCATGGAAGCTATTAGGACCAACCTGGATGAAAGATAAAGTCATAATTAACTTGACATTAACCGCAGTGCACTAGATATTATGTCTATAAATAACACTAAGGTTACTCAGAATTTGAAAGTTTGGAATATCCCTTCCTGCAGATGCTGTTAAAAAACAGATCCAGAATGTTTGTGGTTGAGATAAATCAGCGGATTGCAATGAAGCACTTACTTCTTTTACTCACAGAGGAACTCCCTTTGGTTTCTGCTCTGAGTATCTTGCAACAAAGCTTCAACCCATAGTCACTTCTGTGACAAATATAACAAGTAAGCAGATGTGCCCATCGAGGTGACAGTGTGCATTTTTTTTTCAGAGCTGCATCTTAAATTACAGGATGATCACGAGAACACTTAGCTTATTATCAATTACATGAGCTGTATCTTCTAGTAATGAATTATCCATACCCTTTATAAATTCCAGAAGTTTTTATCTTGAAATATGTCTTGCCTTCTTGGTGCTATATAATAGTCTCCTGCATTAAAAACCAGCCAACCTGAAACCCACAATACAGAGAAACTACCACAGAGGTCCTGTATCAGTGAAACTTTCTGAATAGCCCTCCACATAAATAAAGATGCAACATGCAGTGCACAGTTTACTTACTTTATTTTTTAAAGTTCTGTCAGAAATATTGCTGTGCATTATTACAAAATATATTAAATTATTGATCAATACATCCAAGGGAACAGGAGTACTTTCCTTTTGTTCAAAGACAAACCTATATAAACCTTTAACATTGAACCCAGAATAATCTTTAAAATCCATCATAAATGTATTTGTACTATCACCATCTCTAAATAAGAATAGAAAGGTGATCCTGATTTCATTAGCAAGTTTAATCCCTTGACAGCAAACACAACCAGACATATCATGAGACCACTTGAAAAAAAAGTCTATACATCTCACATTATCTGAGCTCCCACATATACATCACATACCAATATTTTTAGTAAAATAATTTTCCCTGCCCTGCAGGTGAAGACATTCAGAGGCAAAAAGATAATATATTTGTAATATATTATTACTGGTAAATTTGTGCCATAGCAGCTTTGCAAATACTATTAAGTGGCTGACTTAGAACACATTAAAGACAACAGAAATAAACCACCTTGAGATCCAGTGATGCTGCAAAGCTTTGAGTTACAGAACCAAAGAACTCCATTGCTGAATGAATTACACAGGAAATGGGTTAAATTCCCATACTTCTTTGTTTTTGTTTTAGGTTTGCAGCTCTGAGAGTTGTCTCTTTCTGCTTCCATTTAAACACTTCTAGCAATTATACATCAACCCACCATGGTAAAATGAGTTCTCAGAAGAAGAGATTTGGAGAAAGGGGAAAGAGAAAAATGGAGCAAGTACATGAATATTATGAATAAATATTTCATTAACATTTACAATGTGTTTTTATGACAATAAGATCTGATACTTAGCAAATTAGCACTGAAAGTCTCATGTAAAACTCTGGCATTACAGTAATTTGACATCTTTAAGAGTTCTAGTGGGTATATAAAAATACAAAACCAGTAGAATAGCAGCAGTGAATAAAGCATTCATATTACTGTGGCCAGTGCACTACTATACATGCAGTAGCCTTCTATTCCCTATTGGCTCGGGCTGTTGTATTAACCTGAACCACTTAAAACTCTGCCACCAAACTGAGCTTCCTCCTCAGAGGTTGAAGTACATCTGATCTTGCAGATATGGCTCAAACCAAAAATTCCATTCAGAATGCAAATCTTCAAAAGCAAAGGAAGTGTTAATGCACTTAGTGGGTCTTGGGTAGTAACAATTTGAACACAGAGCAAGGACGTTTTTATTACCACTAGGGTTGAAAAAGGACCTAGGGCAGGAGGAAGCTCTCTAATTACAAGTGTTTCTTCTGAGTGCCCCCCATCCCCCCAAAAAAAGAGAAGGGGGGAAAAAAGGAAAGAATGGCAGTTTTTGAGCATCTTGAAAAAAATACAGATAACTAACATAGCTTAAAGTGGAGAACCAGTGTACAGCACCTTCTGTATACAGAAGTGCACTGCCTTGTACAGCTTAACAGCTCTTGGTTAAGAATGGTTTAACTAGGCATTCTCTAACTGAAGACACTGAAACAACAAAGCTAATAGGATGAGGCTATTAATTCTCAAGACTACTTAAAAAGCTTAAGCCCACAGTTTTAAAGCAAGGATCTTTTCCTATTTTGAGTAATATATGCTCACCCCTCCCCTAATAACAGAGAATACACTGAAGTTGTCAATGACCAACTGCATTTAGCATTAGCCAGGAAATTCATGTTTCAGTAGTGACAACACTCCATTGAACACAATCCCTCTTCATCTAAAAAGTTCTACCTGCAGAAGAAATTTAACTCATCTGGATATTATGAATGTGGTAGCTTGGGTCCAGGAACTTTTACATCTCACGCAGGTAGGCAGAGTATCCTCCCGAATCAATATGCTACAGCAGTCTTTCTTTACTCTTGTATGTATTAACCATATGCCCTTTCCCCACTGATGATACTCATGGTATTGTTTTGATGAGGCCAAATAACTGGAATTCTCTTCATTATTTTTTAAGCGGTAGTCTAGGTCATTTCACTAGCTTGGATAAATAATGCACATATGCTTATGAATCGTTTAATTCTTTCTTCTGTATCAGAATATCGGCTTAGGTTATGGGGTGAACAAAACCTTTCTTCTTCCCTCCTTTTAAAGACACGATTCAGAACTTTATCGGCACCATGATACATTAAAAGCTTTTAGCACCAGTGAAATTGAACCACTCAGCTTTGACCGGTCAAAACTAACATTTATGTGGCATACAGTCAGTACAGAAAATAATAATACACGCAACATTAGGAAGCTCATGAATCCCTGACATAGTGAATCTAGTGTTTGATGAATGAGTAACTATAGAAGCCAGATTTTCTTCCTAAGAGCAAACAGGACTGCAATTTTGCCTCACACTGTTGAACTAATAGGTTTTCCTTCCTCTCCAAATTGCTGAGAGTGGCCCAGCTCTTATTGTTTAAAGGGACAGGAAATACCCACAATAGTTGGATGTTGATATGGCCAGCTGCCCACTGAGAATTCATCGGAGGTGACATAGGTCGTATGTCACGCACAACACCAAGAGATCACACGAATAGATGCAGGTTGCAGGTTCACCTTTGGTACAAATTCAGGTTTCAACAACAAAAGACATCCTGCATCACCCTACCTAGTTAGTGCATCCCTTTGCTCATGTATCTACTCACAAGCTGAAAAATGTCCAGCACTAGGAAGTACACCAGCACAAAGGTATGTCACTCAAATGCTAAACTTTTATATCTCTTGTCAGTTGTGATTCACACTCTGGGCCTAGAGCACACACTTACAGAAAGACTTATCCAAGTAAAGAGAACTAGGGAGGCACTTTCAGACCACATTACAAATATTTCTTGAGTGAACTCAGCTCATAGTCATTTACCATTATCCACAACACTACCACATGTCTTTTGGAAATACTAGCATCGACTGTACATCAGCATGCCACTTCCTGAAGCTAACTCCACAGAAGGGAAGGGCCAAAGCATACCTGAACCCTAGGTGACGTGAGCAAAGTCTTGACTTCAGATTTCCAGAAAAGCCTAGCCAATGCAAAATTCTAAATAAGTCAATATAGAAGCTATCTCAAGTTTCCCAAGCTCTGTGAAAAACAAACAAAAAATTCCCTCATCTTTATTAATTTAGCTATTTCACTGTGACAGTATCTATTCTGAGGCACTGCGGTGAAAAGGCTTACAGGACTTCTCGATATGACTTATGTTTTACCAGAGACATACAGGTTCTGCAATAGGATTTTCCTTTAGGCATTTAAGTTTTGATTAACAACACTTCATTTAGTTAGCTTGCTACAAAAGTAGCTTATTCTTTTAATAGAGAACCATACCAAATATTTAAGCATACCAAATATTTAAGTACATGACCTCATAGAAAAAAAAAAAACCAAGCAACTAGAAAGTTCCACTGAGGTGAAGATCAATTATGCTTGTAATTATGACCTTTCACAAACACAGCCTATATGGACAATGAAGCACTCTTATAATCTGTGGTGGAAGAACATAACTAGTGGCTCCATTCCTCTGGGTAAGACTTAGAGGCTACATAGGTCCATCAGTACTGCGAGCCTGAAATCCTTCTCTGCGGACACTGTTCAAATCTAAACGTGTCAGAACTTCACAGCGCACCAGAAGTGTATCATCCTTTATGAAGGTTCTTTGTTTCAAATTTTGCAGGTGCATGAAAGTCACATAACCAAAACCTTTTGGATTGCGGTGAACTGTCGGCCTCTGGAAGGCCAGTAACTCTGGCTTGGCTTCCATTACTTCTTCATGATTCTGCCTTTCCGGGCCTTCTGATTGATCCAAAATAGAAAGTCGTATCGTGCCTTGGAAAGGCCATGGCAGATGGCTGTCATATTCCCCTTGCATAGTGTGGACAAACAGAGATATAAAATTAGCACAGCGCTGAGCATTCGGTAATTGGATATGCAGGCGCAAACACAGCTTGTACCCAGGCTTTCCAGTATAGAAGCCAGGACTGTGCATCACAACAGGTCTCTCTTCTTCCTGGGCTTTCTGAAGTCCACTGAAGTTCTCAATCTTCCAGATATAAATACCGTTACATTGCTGGGCCTCCATTTCAGTGATCTTTCCCTCCAAACTTCGGATAGTACGTTTGAGTTCTGCCATGTGAGTGTTCTGGGTCTCCATTTTAGCAATGAGTTCCCTGATTTGGTGATCTTGTCTTACCAGACGACCTTCCAACTGCTGAATAGTTTCTTTGAAGTTTTCAACTTCTGGATTACAATCATATGTGGCATGTGACACGTGTGAGAAGAGGGCAGGCTCAAAGGGTAGGCCATTGATGAAGGGTACAGGATTTGTAGCAGTGACACTGATATTTTGAAAACTCTGAGCCATCATTCTCATGTGAACCTGAGTGAACTCCTGCATATGTCGTGCCAGTTCATTCCTTTGCATCTAGAATTTAAGAGATGTGGCATTAGGAACATAGCAAACATAACCAGAAATCACATTTTAAATCACATTTTAAACCTACACTTCAAATGGAGGCAATTCTGAATAAAAGACATGAGGTATTTCAGTAGTACATACAATGAGAAATAGAAACAGCGTATTTCAAACTGTGCGCCTGAAAGTAAAAACAAGATATGAAGAAATATGGAGTATTTTATACTGAAAACATTCTTGATAAATATTCCAAAGGCAAGCATTATGTGTATATTCAGGGTTACTTTCTTGTTAATGAGTATTCATGATAAAAAGATTGATGTTTCATAGGAGTAATAATTTCCCTGTTAAACCATCATTAATTATGGTGTACACTTTCAATAACACTGTTCAACTCAAAACAAAGATGTAGTGAAAGACTGTTAGTGATAAACATACATTTAGTATTTTCTTCTGTGCTCTAAATCACCACTGTATTCCCTCCACTGATTTGCTAAAATTCTCTATTGTACCAAATGCTGCATGAAAACTGATGTAGAAACGATGAAGGAGAAAGATCCATTTTTACAAAGAGGTAGTGAACAACTAGAAATAAGAGTATCCAGTTTAATAGTTTTAGAATTTAATAGAATTGATTTTCTTTATGGAACTCTAAGAGCCACAAGTGTATCTGGCCACAACTTTGGAAGAAATGCTGGAAGCTACTTTATTTACATGAAAGCTGAGAAAACAGTCAGTCATGGATTAATAAAAGCAAGTTCACCAAGCAAATAGTTCACAGTTTTTTAAATTTGAAAAGCCAATTTTGAAAGACAGTGTATCAACATGAAGTTGTTGATATCAACATGCAGTTGTGAAACAAAAGAAAAGACAAACCCACAAATCACTAAGGATTTGAGCTGGTGAATGACACAAGAATAGGGAAACACATTTAAAAAAACCCCAGACAAAGTCCGCAACTCATGATTCTGATAAAAGGCTTACCTTTTCAGGACATCCAAAGGCACTGTAAAAACATGGCACTGGGGCAGTAGGACAATCATTGTTGTAATGGTTAGGCATCTAAAACAAATAAGATTTGCTATTACTTTTTCTTCAAAAGTATGCTTTTATAACATCCAAAAAGGATATAGCTGGATGGATTCTGAACAGGTACCTGAAGTCAGATCTGTTTATACCTACATAATTTCTCATAGGAATATGGAAGTTTTGAACAAAAATATTAGCTGACGATAAATATTCTACATCCCACTACTATGCCCTTTAACAATTCACTGGCTTTGTTCTTACATCAGGCATCAGAAAGCATTCAAGTTTCCTTGCTAGACCAAAAGCCTGTCACTGCTAGCCTATCCTCAGGACAGATCACAGTTAATATCTTTCCTTTCTGAAGGACTACTTGCACATACTCTCTTCATTATCTTTTTCGTCAAAAACCTCAAGTTACTTCAATTTTCCTGTATTTTCCAGATCCAGTCATCTCACTGCTCTGGACCCACCCTATCCACCCCCACCTCAAAAGCATGACAACTTCAGCTGATGCCTTACGGGCCCTAAACAGAACAAAGGATAATTCTAGGTTTCACAGGCAAAATACCTCTTTATATAACCCCATATGTTTGCCTTGTTTAAATATCACAATGAAGCAGAACACAAGTTTAATACAGGTCAGCCATTAAATCTGAACCATTAGCAAGTTTAGCATTCTCTGTTCCCCATTTCTGCAGCTGATTATCCTACCTAACAACATATTTTTGCCTTTGTCATTACTAAGCTCAATCCTGCTTTTCAGAGTATTTGTGCAATTTGACATGATCACTCAATATCATTTGACATGATATTCAACATAGTTGCCAACCCATTCAAATAAGGATAAGCTGCAAATTAAATAACATCTATCATTTTTCTGTCAATGAAGTTATTATTGAATAGAAGAAATAATAATGGCTATTACAATAGTAATGGAGAAGCAGATTTCCAGTCAGCATCTGCAGTTTTATAGTGAACTACTTATAGCCACTTCCCAACAGTGGCTTTCCAATACAAATACCTTCCCTCTCTGCCCATTTTTTAACCTCCATTCAATATCAAAAACATCCAGCATGTCCCCTTGTCAAGAAGCAGTACAGCTAAATAATATGATGTGCAGCCAAAAATCCTACAGAGGTCTTACCAGACTGCAACTGTGAGCTGGAGCAGCATTTAAGAGAGTATTATACCTGGACTGGACGTTTTCAGAGGGAGACAGGTAGAGATTTATTAGGTAGTAGACAAACTATTTCTCCAAGTTTAAATTCATATTAAATAAGCAATGTAAATACAAAACATGTGACCCAGATTAAACACAGAAGAAGGTAGTCTCTTACCTGCTCTCTGATTAGCACTGTGTTGCAATATTCACAAAATACATTGGCAAGTGGGCAGGTCTGGTCATGAAGCTTAGTGATCAAGCAGAAAAAGAGAGGAAAGAAAGAATCTATCAAGTTACACAATTTAGGAGAGGGCTAATCACCTCTGATCAGACATCAAACTTTTATTTACATTTCAAATTTTGCATTTAGCTGTATGCAACTGTGAAACAAAGTCAATCCCCTTGCCCTGAACAGTATGTTTTCTATTACTGTTTTTTCCTGTACTTACACAAGAGCTTCATAAAGTTGCAGATGTTTTATTTCCTAAAGCTCTTATGCTCCAAAGAAGTTTGAATTTAACCAGAAGTTTCTAAAATACATGTTCAATTGCAGTGGAACTATATGAGAGATTTTTTTTTTTATTGTTGAACTATACAAGGTACTTTTGTTTGACAATTCACAATATGAATTTCATAAAATTTAACAGTCCTTGAGATAAACCACATCCACATAGAGATAAAGAAATGGAAACAGAAAAAGGAAAGTATTATCCTCAGTACAGCACCAGCAAAAAATGCAGAACCAGGAGAAGAACTCGGAAATTATTGTGGTCTTGTGTGTTAACAGAGGTCCCCAAAAGATTTATCTCATGATATATCCTTTCTCCTGGGCATAAAACCAGCAAATGTAAATACTGCCTTCTGTATTCATTTAGCAGTTGATACTGGCCTCTCGGGTGGCCAAAGATCAATGGTTCTTTCACAAGTCTCCTTGAACCACAAGGTTCCCAAAAAGTTTGTATTTAAGAACAATCTCTCCCCACCTTTTCCTGTTCTAGACTAATGTCCTGAGTTTGCAGCTTCTCACCTGTGTAGCAGCAGACAGTGCTCATCTAGACCAAAAGCTTTGTTGCCTTTTTTTTTTTAAACTGATGTTCTATTTACAAGCAAACCCATGGGAATGAAGGTTGAAAAACTGAGACTCCTGCTAAGTACCTCTTTATCTTCATAAGCCATAGACGTGGCACAGTTTGGGCAACACACTTGACGCCTTGGACACTCCTGAGTCATGTGCTCTTTCAGGTGGTTCTTCTGGAAGGTTCCTTGGCACTGTGGGCATTCCACAGTGGAAAATTCACACTGTAACTGGTGTTCCTGCAAAAGGACAGAAGAGAGATTTGATACGACAAACAGGTACTATCATCTCATCTGTTTTCAACAGAAAGCACAATACAAGACAAACAAATTGCAATCTTTCCTTCATGCAAGGAAATCCTTATACTCTTATGCTGACTTAATCAACAGCCCATTACTGTCCAATTACTAAGATCAGGGCTTCACATATCCAGAGCTTTAAGAAGGCTCTCAGGTAAAAATTCAGTTTTATATTTATCCTTTTAACTGCATCTATTATTTTGCAAAGTAATTCAACTAATATATGTAGCTACTTTAACAGAATATTAAAGTAACTTTAAGAAACTTGTGTTAAGTACAGATACAACTGATCAAAAGACAAACATGAATGATACTAAACAGAATGCTGCATTAGTACAATTTTCATGCACTACGATGTTCACTTGAGAATCACCTACCTACAGTAAAAGACTCATGAAAACCCAAATACGTTTAGCTATAGTCTTGAAAAAACAATGCATTGAATCAGCATAAATGAGTACCTGGTATTACCATCTATTTTACTTGTCCATGAAAACCAGGTTCCACAGTTTCAAAACTAATTCTCACCTCTAAGTGCCTCAGCTCCATCTTCATAGTGCAGCCCTTGTTGGGACACTTCACCATTAACGAAAGGATTTCCCGTTTAGCAAAGTTGTCAGGAAAAAGTTGATTTTCAAGCAGTATTTCGTTGTCTACTGGACATTTGTGACCTGCATCTCTATAACGCAGAAAAGGAAGGAAAAAGATATTCCAGTATTTCCAAGAGATTTCCAAGCCTTTAATTTAAAATATTTTTAAAGTAATAACATATTAGTGGCCAAACTATAACACAGTAAGAAAGTCTTTGAAAACAATGGCATTTATGTGGTAATGACCAGAAAGTACACAACGTACAGTAGGAAAGCTGACAACACACAGTTTCACTAGAGGTGGCACGACTAGGGTTGCAGCCCTTTTCTAACTCAGTATGGGGTTTTTTTGTACAAATGCCATGTTAGGTACTGTGGAAACAAACTCGAGGAGGACATAAAGAAATTAAGAACTTACAGTCTTGTTTCTGTAAATACTTCACATAGCTCAAACATCAAAGTATGTTTCACATACTATTTCAAAACAATTCTTTAAACATTCTTGGACTGTCTCTAATTTCATTCACACTTTATAAACATCCGAGGTGATCGCAGCCAAGAGAAAAAGTAAAATTTTCTTTTCTTCCAGATTTACTTCATTTATTTGGCATTACTTCTCATACAGCTCATTTTGCTGTTTTTGTTGTACAACCATTTGAACAGTTGGTTATCCTTCCATTTGTTTATTTATACAGCAAATAAGGGTAAAAAAAACTCCAGACATGAAAATTACTAGTAACTATGAAAATTACTGGCTTTGGAACTGAATGTTGCATCTGAGGCCATTTTAACAGCAAACAGATTGGAAGTGCTAACTGGCAGAAGTTTGGAACATGGATGCATGCAACTTGCACAAGGTAACTAAAATTCCAGTTCATCAGGTTCTGTCTATCTGCATTTAAACACAAAAATCATTAGAAATGCAGCAAAAAAAGGGATAGCCTCCATCAAATTTTCCAGTATCAGCTCATTCTGAAAGCAGTAGGCCAACATATTGATTCACAATTAAGCAACGCAGTTAAAAAGGCATGAGGGATCAAAGCTCTGAGCTGAAATGCTAATGGAAACAGCAATAAAATGGAAAAATATATGGGGCAGAAAAATGTCAGAGACCACTTGTGGTGCAAGGATCAAAGGCCAGATCGTTGTCATTGCTTGCACGCATGAGGGGAACCTAGTGGGCTGTGGAGATCAGGAGGGAATTTATGTTCTTTGTTGGAAAAGGAAATAATTGCTCAGCAACTCAACCAGCAATGCTGCTAGAGGAAGTGGAGGTAAAGCTGAGACCTCAAAAAGAGGCAGTGAACTTCCTTTCACAGGTTTTGCTTGTAAGAGCTCGCTCACCACATGCCTGGTAGTCATACTCCCAAATAAGTGGAAGAAAATACCCAGCTTGCCATTTTGTTTCAGAGCTCCCTGAGCTATGATCAGTGTGCATATCTTTGCACAACCCAGAAATGTTCTCTCACTTCACAACCTACAGGAAATCAGTTTTCACAGGTATAACTTGATTACAAACACCCTGTTTAATAGAGTATAAAGATCGCCAAGTAGGCCTGCTGATAAGACAGCAGCTTCATTTCTACATGGCAAAGCTAATCATGTATAATAACAGTCAACAACAGAATAACGTGAAACTATGATTACCAGTTCCCCAGCTTAAATAACAGCAGACAAAGGGTAAAATAAGAATGCATGGCAATTTTCCAGTGTAGGAAAGTATAGTGCGGAAAGAGCAATAACTCACTGTAGTATATTAAACAGGCTTCAAATATTATTTACAAGTATGAGGATTGTGCTTAAAATGCCTCTTAGATACATTGGCAGACAAAGACACTGCCATACATTTCCTATCACAGAACTGAGTTTATACACCTCAGTTCTAACTTATATTACAGTGAGAGATTTCCTGAGCTGGAATTATCACATTGGACTCTGCCACTCACAACAGTACCTGTAAAACAATAACCATCTGCTACAAAGTACAATAAATATTCCTATAATTTTCATTGAAATTAAAATGCAGGTATATAAAGAGTAAAGCCAGAATAATTTTGTTTGCAGAAAAAGCCTGCTTCATGATTTTAACAACTGAGTGGCTTAGCCTAAAAGCTGAATCAGTTGCCATACACTTTAACTGCAGCCATGCCAGCTGTTTGAGAGATTGCTAGTACCCAAAGCTTTCCCTGCCTGCCCCTTGTCAGCTCACAATTCTGCTTTTCCAATAAACAGAAGTTCTGGTATTTGGCAAGATCTACTACAAACCCTAAGTCAGCTTTGACAAAAGAGAAGAAAGACTAGAGTGAAATTTAATTACCTACTGGACCTGAACTTAGTTCTTCTAAAATTTCTAATCCAGTATTTTGTTTACAGTAACATTTGTAGAACAGTATTTGTAGTTCCTTAGGTAGATAAGCGAGAATTCTTCTCTACCATGACTTAAAGCATTTCAAAGCATTTCAGACAGCTTTATTTAAAAAGATGCCAGGACTTTCTGGGAGGTAAACATTTACTATGATCAAATCCATCTGGTCTAATCATGTCCCTCACATTGCAAGATCTAAGAGCCCAGTTTTCAAAAGGTTTTCCATTTTTTTCTTATTTGCAGCCATAACTTCAACATGAACAATATAATTGTTTGTCCAAGTCACAAGAAGTGATTATTCAAGAAACGCTTGTATGTCCTTCATCACTTAAAATCCTTAATCCCTGTGTTCACTTGAGCTAGACAGTGGGGAAATGAGAAATAAACAGGAGCAATTTTTTCCTGATCAAATAAAGGCTGTGACAATCACTTAATGAAAAAAAACAGTACTTAGAGAATGTAGAAATCACTTCCCATTTCCATTTTCGTTCCATAGAAGCTTCTCAATGACACCAATCAATATGGTACTGTAGACAGTACATACTCCAAATCGATATTGTACTGTAGACGCTACATAATCCACATCAATAGCTTGATCCATGGATACCAATTAAGCACGCCTTCAGCCCTTCAGGGATTCAGGGAGGTCTGGCACTTTATGCTGTCTGCTCTGCTTTCACAAGCATTCACTCAAACTGTACTCCAAAGAGAGATTTCATTGGAGAATGAGGGAAAACTTTTACTATCAATGAAAAAACTGAGATATTACAGTGATGATCCATAGTCTCCAAGGAAAAAATGCTTTCAACCTGTGTTTAGTATTCACTGAAACTGTCAGCACTATTTATAGAAATGAAGTAAAATAAGCAAAGGGTGTAAAAGAAGCAAAAGCTTTTGGTCATTGAAACTGTTTGGAGACGTAAAACTTTGAGCACAGAAAATATGCTGCTAATTTAAAAAGGAAGAGAAACCATTTCCCATGCCTGGAGAAGAAGGAAGTTTCTCTTCCTGCTGCAAGATGTGTTCTGAGCTTGTGTTCGCTGCAGTTTCTCACTCAGTCCTGTAAATTCTAACCAATGATTGTAACTGTGCAGTTCACCAGCAGGAGCATAAGGATTAGAAAAGAAGATCACTTTAGCTCGTAAAGATCTGCAAGACACCCATTTTTGGTAATTTTTAGTCATCTTCCCTCATATTTCAACATAGGACTTCTGTTGTCTTTGAAATGATTGCCATGACTGCAACATAGACATTTCTACAGCTTACTGTATTTAAGTACTGATTTACCTCCAGAATTTATAGACATCATAATCTCAAGAGAAGGTTCAAAGATTTATGTTCTTTCTTCCAGAAATAGCCAAGTTAAAGAAGAGTATAAAACTGCTACTGCCAACAAATAGAGCAAGCTAAGAGAGAGCAAGTAAGGAATTTTAAAATTTAACGGCCTTTATCATTACAACTGTCTTGTAATGCCTACAAGCATACATGAAATTATGTACATTACCCTCTTGAAAGCAATTTGGGTTGGAATGTGCAAAGCAAAGGGCAGAAAGTGAAGCCAGCTGCTTGTGCCTAAGGAACTGGATTACAGTCAAGGCTGACAAGTTCAGGGGCCTTTAGCCTTCTTCCATGAACCTGGATAACATGTATACCACCAGATGATGCAGTTGGGCAAGGCCTGATGTACTTTTCTCGCAGGAACAGGAACATAGTGAACAAGGCAAGGGACTGTGTGAACAGGGGATTTCATGGTATAGTTAGTGAAGATCTGAATGTCTCTCAGCTGCTTCTGCAGAATCCACAGGTGAGTCACTTGACACGGGTGAACAGTGGTGGTGTTCTGCATTTTCTGGATCCTTTTCTCAGAAATATTGATGAAACTGATGTTAACAGGAACTGTGCTACAAATGCACACAAATTTCTGTGCTAGCTAGAAAGAATCTGCTATCATAAGTAGGGAGTGCAATATTAAATTTGTCTTCTCGTTCTCAGCTCCAACACTTCCCCCTCCTTGATCCAAAAGGGATGCTATGAAAAAATACAGTAGCATTAGATCCAACAGTGGCAGAATGACAGAATTTTTTAGGCTGGAAAAAAGATGATTCGAGTCCAATGACTGATCACCACATCATCAAGTAGACCATGGCACTCAGTGCCATGTCCAGTCATTTCTTGAACACTGCCAGAGATCATGACTCCACCACTCCTCCAGGCAGTCTGTTCCAATGCTTAACAACCCTTTCCACAAAGAAATTCTTCCAGAGAATTTACATAGCAGAAATTACAGAGAAGGCCACAAAACATACAAAATACTGTATTCAGAGAACATCACTGCTGGTATACTATTTATTTTGTGAGCTACAAATAATGGAAAATGGAGAAAAAGAAATGGAATAGAACTACAGACAAGTGGTATGAAAAACCAATCAAGAAAGCACTGTCCATTTTTCAAGCTAAAAATGAATGCCAGGGAGAAACACAGTAACACTGAAAACAGTTTAATGATCTTTATACAAGTGTGCGAAGTAAGGTTAGAAATGAACCAATTCTATATATGGCTCATGCAGAATTAAATATACAGATTCCTACCAAAGTGACATTTGAGCTAAGTAAGCAATTGGTAAGTGAAAAAACTGGCTTAAGCTGAGAAGGAAAAATCCTACAGCATAATATCTAGCTTTCTATGTGATCCAATACTCACTGACACGTGTGGGACACGTGCACTCTCTGCCTTCCTTGCTCTGTCATCCATTTTTATAAGCCCAGCTTGTTCTTGCCTTTGTACCTTGTTCCCACTCCCTCATATGCCACTTGGTTTCCTGTCTCAATGACTTTTTCCAAGACTATTTCCTCATCACATTCTTTCTTCCACCTCAATAAGAAAGCAGCTAATTTCAAGTGAAGAACTGAAAGCATGAATTGCCTTATCTGCACCAAGAAACCATGTTGTCTGTAGTTTCCTGTAGTTATTAAAAGAAACAGTCATAGGCAAAACACAGATTTTATAATCCTGGACAAAAAGTGGAATTTATTTGGAGGATGTGGCTCCTTTTTTTAATTATTTAAAGTTTAATCAAACAAATTTTCAGATTCATAACCTGGATAAATTTGTATAAATGGCAAAATCTAAAGCTCCAAACTCATGACATGAAACCTCCAAACTCATGACATTTTGGCCATATATAGTATTTACTAGAAAGCATCTTTAACGAATCATAAATTTCCAGAGTTCTATTAGCACTCATTGGTAATGCACCCTTGGCCAGTTCTGTTCAGTTTACATTGACCTTAAACTGCTCTGGTAAGTGAATTTCTTCTTAAAAGCAGCTTCTATAAATTTTCTTTTACCTTATCGATTTGACAATGCAGCCTTTGCAGAAACGGTGTCCACATGGTGTCTGCACGGCTTCCCGAAGAGCCATCAAACAGATTGGACATTCATATTTACTTTCCAAGGGCGGATCAAACTCCACATCATATCCTTGTGTTTCTTCCGTGAAAGAGCTTGGCGGGTTTCCAGTCCCACTGCTGACACTTGTGCCGTCTTCTTTGGCTCCAGCGCTGCAGGCACTGGCCATGGCTGCACAGCAGCCGCTTTCCACGTCTCGGGCTCCACAACTGCTATCACTGTGTAGCAAGCTCATAGTAGCTAATCAAGTGCTACACAGAGATGCACTGCAAGATGGCAAAAAGATGTATTAATTTAAAATATTCAAATACCTTCCTTTTCAGTCAAGAGCAACATTTATTTCTGACCAGAAACAGTTACAGATTTGGTTCTACTCAAAATCCCTGGTTTGGTTTTCTCCCAGTTTCCGTTATCTTTTTAACTTATCTTGTGATATGTAGGTAAGAACACTGCATCCTGTCAGTACAGTTCAAAACTCCCCCCTACCCCCCCCTTTCTGTAATCTCTTTCATCTGACTCCCTGATTTCTGTAAAAAGAGGAATACTCTTTGTCCTTGCTATGTTTACTGAAAGCATCTCTTTACCCCTTCCACATTATTTACTTCTAAGGCATTCAAATAGACTTTGCATGAAAGAATGCTGTACAGAATCACGTTTCATTAGACAACAATAGCCCAATTCCATATTTTCATTGCAGTATATAAATGTTATTTAACATTTTCTGTCTACAGCGATTCACAGTATAGGTTTCAATTTAGTAGGTCCACAAATAAAATAAAAGTCCAAGTACCTAAACCAAGCAGATGCTCTGCTGCAAATGAAATTCAAATATACAGCACTGCTGATAACATTTTAGAACTGCCAACAGGACTTTAAATTGGGTAAGGAGCTACACATGAGATAAAGATAATAATTCCACAGTTCAAAAGCTATCCACAAATTACTAGCATTGAAACAGAGTTCTTGCTCTCCCTTGCCTCTTCTAGTCTAGCTGGCAGGGAGGACAACACACATGATTGTAAGAATGGAAGATACAAGTTGCCTTTCCCTGAAGAGCAGGGAATGGCATACTACAGCCTGCTTTAAAACACTGCTCATAAAGCAGGTTGAAGCTCATAGGTATGAAATAAAAAAGTGCTGGTATCCCCAAACAGATGGCCAGTGTTTCTACACTGAAGGAAGGAGTTTTTAAAAGAATATCTAAACAAATATAAGTTCTAGAAGAAATTTTCCTCTGCCTTGAGTTTTTAATGGTCATAAGACCATAAGATCATTTTCTGAGAATCCTACTGTGGTTAGTTTTCTAGAAATGAAATTTCTTTGAAAAACAGAGATTACCACCAGTTGCAAGGCAGTATGAGTAATCTGAGGGTTATGGAGCCAGGCACACAAAACAAGTCCACTAACTCAGATTTGATTGTCTTTTGCACAGCACTATAGGCAAAACCTTTTGCAATGTTCACTTACTGAGTTCACTGTAATATCATTACGTCATTTAAAATATATTAGGGATGCAACTCTAATCAAGAGCTAAACTATTGTTTATTTGCATCACAACTGCAGACGGTCGGGTCAGCAGGACGAACAGGGCTACCTTGAGCATGAGCTCACAAAAGTAAAAATTTTCCTGCCTTTAGCAGAATTTGTTATCATGATTCATTTTTACAAAATGTTCATGGATAGGAGGACAACAGACAGGTAGTTTTATTTGGGTACTTATTATATGACACCTTTACCCCTAGACCACCAGGGGCTCCCGCGGAGACCCAGGTTCGATTCCCGGTCAGGGCCACTCCCGGGCAGGTGGGGCTCGTTAGCCCTTAAAGGCAACCCACCTACGTCCTAAGGACCTCGCTGCCACCGTCCAAGCTCGCTTGGCCCCGGCAGATGAACCTTAGGATTAAAGGGTGGGCTCAGTTCCGCGCACACTGTGTCTCACCTAAAAAATCCAACGCGCAGGCTGGAAGGTGGAAAGACCTTCCCCGGATCTTCGCTCGCGAAGACTGGCCATTATTATTATTATTTTATATGACACCTGAAGACTACATCAACAGAAATACTAATCACACAGGGTCTCAACTAGCATTTACTGGAAATGTATTTTGAACAGATGCAACATCACAGAAATGCACTTTAGGCCATCTACATGATAAACAGTTGGCAATATTGTCCATGCTAATACTGCATGAGCTTTTTCCCCCAATTATCCAGATATCAAAATTAAAAAAAAAGGCAGATCTACTGAACAAAACCAAAACAGCCAAAGTTACCATATTTAGTTCAGCTACAGCTGGAATCAAAACAGAGCTTTTATTTTGTTCCGTAAATATGTAACTTTCCTATACATTATCTACCCACAACAGGCTTTAATAATCAAGGCTCCTATGCACAACAGCAATACACACTAAACATCAAGTACATTCTCACCAGCAGCTTCAGCCATGTCATGATCAATTTAATCCCATGAAGGGAGCAGCTCCCCCAGTGACTTAAAATGGAAGCAGAAGAATCAATCTTTATAAAGATGTCCTGCGACAGAGACTTTTTTTTAGAGTGTCATCCGTAGGTCTTTCTGGAGAAAAAATCCAACTTATTTCCACTGTTAAACTAGTATAACTTATTTAACAACTGCTGCAGAGGATGATTAATCCATAGGCCACATTTCATGAAAAAAAATCACAGGAACTAAATTGGGCCAATGAAGTGGGAATGCTGGTATGCAGGATATTAGAATCCACTGGTCAGCCTAGGATTGACAAATTCACATAAATCTAAGTCACAAGGCTATATTTACTGAGACAAAAAAGGGAAGAGGAACATATATCCCTTTAGAAAGGAAAGAGGAGCATATATCCCTTTAACGATGTCACAAAGGAATCCAGGAAGTCGCATGGAGAAAAATATAATATATAATAATATAATATATATATAAAATAATATAATAACTTTACCCAAATTCAGTTCTAACATTAATTGAAGCATGTGACTCTTCTCTTGGGTTGTTACTAGTAAAAAAACCATACCATTTAAAATATTGTTCTTATAAGGAAGAAAACAGGATCTGAGTTGGTATAATCTCACCAGCTGAATGCTTTTTGAACTTTTTAAACACTAGCTGAGCTCTTTGCCCCTTTATATTGTTTCTAAGAAAGAGCAGGTATGTCCATTCAGTTTACAGAAACAAAACTCCTATCCCAGAGACATTTTAATGAATGAGTCACTGCAACCAGCCAACATCTCAGCTGCACACAGAAATCCCCTTATTCAGTGATATACTCCACTTCTACATAGAGCTTTTGGTCAGCACATGACTGAGTGGTTCGTAAGAAAAGAAGTGCAAATATGATTGGTTCTTTTTAAATTGGGAAATTCAGGCACAAAGAAGTAACTTAAATAAGGTGTTTTAAGAGCCAGATTTTAAACTTCGTTCATGTTTTATCTAAGACAGGATTCTTCCTACTTCTCTTATCCATTTCATCTTATCTGCGAAGGAAGTCCTTCCTCCACACATATTTATCAGTATGGGGCAAGGCACAATTTTCCAAATAAAAATCCATACTGCTGTTACTCAGATCATTAACCAAGGCATGATTACTCCAGCCTAGTTTAAAACAATTCCTCTGTGAGTTCTAACTACTGCAGTAGGAATTAGTTCTGTTTCTTGTGGCAGCTATTTTACCCTCCAAGAGTAGGAACACAGATTCAAGCTTGAACATAGCAGTGCTAGTGCAAAACCGACTACAGAAAAGTATACTTTGAATGTTTAATGACAGGTCTTTTCCCCACTGAAGGTGGAGCAGGCAATTTGCCAGCCTACTGGAGCAGCATTTCATGTTCTTCCCTTGGGGAATTTAAAAAATGTTTTGGCTGCAAGAGGATGGATTTTTAAATCCAAACTAGTATGTATCCCAAAATTATACTAAAATCTCCCAAAACTCACATCAGTTTTTTTTCCTATTGATAATAGTTGCTATTTTTCCTTTGCCAAACAAAACTGAGTCAAATGCAAGTACAACAATATCCAAGTATTAACTTACACCTTGTGTACACCACAGACTTTACAACTTCTCCTTTGCTTAAATGTTAGTAGTTTAATACATTAAACACTTGGCTAGACTGCTCTCTATACCTTTTTTGTTTGCACAACATCTAGCTTTCAGATCCAGGAACAACTGAAATTAAACTGGATCATTACATGGTAATTCTTATTTTTGCTAGAGTGAAGTTTCTCAGGCAGAGAACGCCTTAAACCATGTTTGGTAATGTGCCTGAAATGCCCTCTTCTAAAGCTAGGAAGTCCTATCACACCTGCTGGGTAGAGAGATAATGGGCTTTAGCTTGCACACGAGGTACCCAGTCCTTGGGCTAGCAAAGGTTGATTGCGCTCTCCAAGGCAACAGCTGTATTGTTTGACAACGGAAAGGGAGGCGCTTTCCAGGCCAAATGGTTATGGGCAGAACTTGTCCGATCATTACCTGTGCTGCAGAAGTCTGGGAATGCCCTAAGGATCAAACTGTCATGCCCCAGAAAAGAGAGTTAAGACTACAGGGAGTCCCCCTTCAAACCATAATGAACCCTTTCTTCACTAAATAACATGTGCTATGTTGCTATTTACACTGCTGCATTACAAAGTGATCAGGCTGATGTGAGCTAGCACACTCAGACCAGAAGAGCAAACTCCTGCAAGAATACTGTCCCTTATGATTGACAAAAAACCAATTTCATAACATAATTTAAGCTGCCCATATTTAAATTAATGCATGCAACAAAACTGTACTGTGATTTGTCAAGTCCCATAGTATATGGAGCTTAGGTGGCACATTTACAGATTTTCATGCTCTGGAGAGCCACAGAATTAATTCAGAAATTCCTCTAAATCAAAAAATATTGCTGGTACCAGAAGGTATCTTCAGGCTGCCTGGAAAATCAAACTATCATTAAAGTAATAATGAGGAAATAAAATTAGGCATTGTATCCTATTTATACTGACATATGAAACAACACCCTTGAGCATTTAGCAAAGGTGAAGGAATACTGTACAGAGAAAGTACTACTTTCCGTAAGATAGAAAACTTTTAATAATAATCATTAAGTACTGAATACAATTAATTTCCACATGCCCTTCCTAGAAAATTCACACTGACTAGCCATATAAATAAGGAAATCAATACAGAGGACTACTCCAAATCCTTTTTCTTACTTGAAGGTCACAAACATAATTAATTTGCTTGCAGCCTGGCCAGCAGACATCCAGCAGAGAAAATGCCTTCAGCACCACATCGACAGAAAAACTGGCCAAACTCTTATTTTTTCTTCTTCTCTCTCACTGAGAATAGTTTTTCATGTATAGATTTCTCGGTCATGAGACTGACGGACCAGTGGAGTGACTTTGGATATTTTTATGGAGCAATACTTGCAACACTTATTCCCAGGCATAATAATTAATGGGCTACTGAGAACTGATAAGCACCATGTGTTTCCATTATGAGGTTTGTAACTATCATCACTGTGGCCTCATCCAGGCAGAACATATGAAATTATGCAAACTCCTTTTAATTAATACCTATGAACACTTTCATTTAAAAGCTATCAAATGTCTAGACAAGCCACAGCAATAAGAGATTTGGGCAGAACTTGTAACTGCAAAAAAACAAATTCTGGTTTCTTATAGAAGTCTGCAAGCATGCTGCAAATATTTTGTTGAGGTAGCAATTTTTTTTTTTTCTAATAGCAGTAACCATTAAGACTTCCAAGCCTTTTGGATAACCACTGTATCTACCATTCTAATATGTGAACCTGAAGACTTCACAGAATTTTTGTTTGAGGCAAACAGAATCAAACAACATTCAGAGCTCATCAGAACCATCAAGAGCTCCTGAGGCTGGAGCAGAGCAGCCCCTGGGGGTTTTGAAACTTCCCAGGTGATTTCTCTTTATTTGAAGAGAATGCTGTCAGGCTCTAATCACTTATGTATTTTCATGCTTGAACGTTACTTAGGAAACTAGATGGGGGCACACTCACAGTTACATTCATAGCTTATCCTACTCATGTATGTCAAAACAGATTTAATTTTAGTGAGCAATGGAAGCATACTATACCATATTTACCACCAAAATATTCCATGGGTTTTCCCATAACCAAAAAAACAAACCCAAGCCAAAATTCCCCAAACCTTTCATCAGTTTATTAACTTCTAGACACAATTGATTGGGAATTGTTGAGAATAACAAATACAATGAAAGCATTGTTAGTGAGAAGAACAATACTATTCGATTCTTTACTTTGGCAGTGACTCCGCTCTTTGGCCTCTGTTCTCCCTACACCGAGAACACACTGAGATATGCATTGTGCCTTTTTATATTCCTCCGAAGATCTGAAGAGAATTTAAGGTGCTGCCTAATGGGGACAAAGTAAATACCAGGGCAGAAAGCACTTCAAGAGGCAGGGAGAAGCATGACTATGAACAAATGTCATTTCTGCCAGGAACAGTCTCCGGGCTAGACTTAATTACCATCTACCTCTACAAGCATGAAGCTTGTATCTGGCATTAGTGGAACAATTTGAGAGTCTGGGAAAACGAACAAACAATGAATTAAGCAGACATTCTGAAACAATTAAAACCTTTCTTCTTTTCACTCCACCTTATATTTACTTTCATTTTCTTTTTGACAGCTTTATACCCTGCATCTTTTATCACCAGTTTTCACAGATGGATCTAAAACCTTTTTGTATTTGCTTAGCTAATCTAAAAAAGTAATTCCTGTCTTGCCAGGTTGCCATTCAATGGAGTCTGATTGAACTTCACAAATCTTCACCTGCTGGGAAAAGCTGAAGGTAATGTGGAATATGCAGAAGATTTATACCCAAAGCAATATCTACAATGAAGATAACACAATTTGTTTTATCAGCATTACTTTTTTTCCTTCTTTTACTATAAGGACTAGTTATATGGCCTTTTCATACAACGGAAAAGCAAAATAGTTTGCTTGCAAGTATTAACACAGCAGGGGAACACAGCATAAAATGCATGGGAGATGTGTTTTCCTACCTGTCCCTCAGTGAAGCTTCAAAACAACACTGTATTTATCCCTCAGTCAATGGTATCTAAGACACAAAATCCACACAGCTCATAGTTCTGCAGCATGCAAAACTTATCAGAGCCAAACACGGAGAAATACTTTCGGCAAGCTCTAACTACTAGGTATAAGGGATATAATTAGAACATTTTCCTCCCACCTACACTGAGATTTCCGTTTAAGTACGAAAAGACTCAGCGTGACCTATCTAAACCAGACGAAATTGATGGAAAGCACTACTGAAGTCATAATTTATTACTCGTGTTAATAAATATAGTTAAATATAAAAACTGCCAATCTCTACTAGAAAACAGAGCTGTTGCTTTTAGAAGTAGTAACCTATCTTGAAAATGATCCTTTTAACATGTTACCGAAGAATTTACTCTGTATCTTCACTCCCCGTGGGAAAAACAGAGCCTACGCTAAGCTGATGTGCTCGACACAAGTGGGACCACAACCCGAGAGCCACGGGTAGCTCGCACTCCCACCGCAGCGCGACGGCCTCCCCGGGGAGCTAAGAGGCAACACAAGGTCATTCCAGCCAGGCTCCCGAACAGGTAAACCAGCGTATCTCGGAGCCCGGGCTGCCCGGCCTCAGACCGCGGCAGAGTTTCAGTTCCGGAGCAGTGCAGGCCGCCGCCTCAGCCCCATCACCGCCCTGCCCCAGCGCGGGCCCCCTTTGCGGCACCCCCGGCCCTGCTCCGAGCCCCGAGCCCGCTCTGGTGGAAGGAGCCGCAGGGCTCCGCGGGGCTGAGCAGGCGCGGGCTCCGCTCCCCAGCCGGCAGCCCCGGCCCGGCGGGGCAAACGCTCCGTGCCGGGCGCCGCCACGCGCCCGCGCCGGCCGGGCCCCGCTCCCGGCGTCCGGCCGGGCCCGCCGCAGCCCCCGCCCTCCCGGCCACCCCCCGCGGCCCGCCCGGACTCACCGCGACCCGCGGCCGATCCCCGCCCGCCGCCGCTTCCGCTTCTCCTCGGGAGGCGTCGGAGCGGCGGCTGGAAGCGAGCGAGGCCGCCCGGGGCGCCGCGGCCGCTGCAGCGCCTCCTGCCGCCGCGGAGGGGCAGCGACGCAGGGGCGGGCCCGCCTCGGCAGGGCGGCGGTAGGGCAGGGCCGCCCTCATCCCGCCCCCAAGGAATAAATGAGACTGTCACCAGCGGTGTTCGTGGGAGTGTAGAATTTTCTGCTCTGCAGGCCTTTACTCTGCTTGCTGAGGCTCTTATGAGCAGCTGTCAAGATGCTTTTCTGGGCTCCGTTGCGAACGCTGTTAAAAACGAGGCACTGAAAGCTGGAGAGGGTAGGGGTGCTGTGTGCGCAAACGGCTCGGGATGCACACAAAAAAACCCGTTTCTCCGTGTTAAATAAATTCTTACCAGAAATAAATTTCCTCTCTCAACCTCAGCCGGCCCCTGGGACCCCTGCAGGCAGTGAGGCTGTGTGCGCTGCCTCCCTCAGGGCGAGCACTGGGGGAACCTCTCCCTGGGGCTTGGACAGCGGCCAGCTTTAAGGAAGTTAAAATACCGGCACAGAGAGAACACACAGACATCTTCATTTCCTTAGAAGCGAACGAGGGAAATTCGGTTGTTTGCATCGGAGAGTTTTCTTGGCAAGAATCTCGTATTAACACGCATTTAAATGCAAAAAACCAGCTACTGTTCCCAGCGTTTGGGAGGATATAATCCGGGGATGGAGGGGTTGTGAAGCCACTTTTTCAGTGGTTTTCAGTGCCTCTGTCCACACGCCGCACTCCCTAGGAGCTGGAAATCAGTGGCCGATGCCATCGCTACACTGCCTGTCGCCCTCCAGTGCTGAGCTCTCAGGCTCCAGGGTGCTGCTGGAGCCAAGGCGCATCCCAGATGCTAACACACCCCTCCGAGCACTGTTTGTGTCCAAAACATATTTACATTTCTTGTTAGGATCTGCCAGGAAGCTAAGAGGAAGGGAGGGAGAGGGGAAGGGAGAGAGATATCTGGGCCATTACATAGGACTTCAAAGTATCACAATACAGGAGTAATGATATTAAGAGTAAATAAACAAATAAATACTTTGTGGACCCTCTCTTGGACAACTGGCTGAATTTCAGAGCTATCCTTTTTCTCCTGCTGAGTGATCAAGCTGTATGCTACTTTCATTAGCTGTAAAATGAGGAAATTTATCATTACAAAGTGTTATAAAAAAATATCCTTAGATGGAGGGTTTTCTATGACTGAAACAATACTATTTTTACTAATTGGCAAGGTGCCCAGAGCATTGCTGCCCAGCCTATTTCAATTGAGGATTCAAGGAACTTATCTGGAGTTTTTATTCCAAGTTTAAATTAAATGCTTTTATTCAGAAGAGTTTCCAAATCTGTATGGCTTAGGCCCATGGTCATATATTAATGCACATACATGCTGTAACAGAAAGCAATGCAAAAATGCTTTTCTCCACTCGGTGGTGCCAGTGGTACAGTAAAAACATTTTCCAGCACTGCATCTGTGCAGCTCAAACTGTATGAGCAATTGTGCTCATATGGACATAAAACACATCCAAAGCTGTAGCAATTTCAGATAAATTAAAATCTTTAGTTGCCTGCTGTATCCCTACAAGACAATATTTTTCAAGGTGATTTCCTGGGTACTTGAAAGTAAAGCACTTGACTAGGCTTATGTACGCTCATGTGGTTCCTTTGATAAAGAAGCTGATGCCTGTACAGTGCAGTTTTGCATGCAAACTCGAGCTCCTGGGGGAGTGGGACAGGCAGCCAGCTACCTGGGTGAAGTTCTGAATAAGCACCCCAGAGGGCGAGATTTGCTAAACTTCTCAAAGAGCCCGAAATTCCTCAATACTAACAATGCCATATTGTCTGGGAGTGGTGCCTGCCATTTCAAGATAAGAGAGGAATTCAGTATGTGACTGCAGAGAGTGATTTTGATTGATATCTGGTATTGCAGCCTGATCTGATATTTTTTTGAAAAGGTCTCTTCAAATGCTAGGGAGTGAATAGTAAAAATAGGCAGGTTGTTAGGAAGTCCAGGCAAAACAGCTGAAGAGCTGAACTCAGGGCCTAGCCAGCTAATATTCTCAGAGCTATATAAATACCTCAGACATTACATCTTCGTCCCATTCTGCCTTGGCCTGGAATGACCTCTATGACTTCTTTTCCACCTTATCCTGACAATCTCATTCAGATAGTTCTGGTTGGGATTTATTTCACATTAGGGTTTTGTGTGTGTCAGAATCTGAGCAAGGATAGAGGGTTTGATACCTGAACTTTTTTTTACTTTCTCCATGCATTGCATATTCCATACGTTATTTTCTTTCTTGATACATTACTGCTCTAGTATGAATCATTACACTAATTAGTAGGAACTGTTGGTCTCTCATGTGGCACAAAGACTAAGGACTAACCACTTCTCCAAGACATCATCATCAGAGAATGGCTTGGAGAAGAGTGTCTAGAAAGCTACCTGGTGGAAAAGAACCCAGAGGTGCTTGACAGCTGGCTGAACATGAGCCAACAGTGTGCCCAGGAGGCCAAGAAGGCCAATGGCACCCTGGCTTGTATGAGAAATAGTGTGGCCAGCAGAGCCAGGGCAGTGATTGACCCT